GTTTATGAAATGTGAAAATGAATAAAACAATTATTCATTATTCAATGTCAATAAAATTGTATGCTGGAAGTTATATACTTTATGATTTGCTTTATTTGACGATCATAAAACTAATAATTTTAGCTGAACAAAAACATCTAATCTCTGACCCATCTTTCTTCCCCATCTTAGTAATTTCATCATGAAAATATGGTATATCGATCCTCGTCTCATAAATCATGGTATCTTTAAGGTCGACATCTGGAAGGTGTATTTATTTTCCTATATGATGTTACAGAGTATATTTTTTTACAGTAGTTACTAGGTTGTGGGAATGATTAGACTATATTTATAACCCCAACAGATGCAAGTAGTACAGATGTATATATGCACAGACGCACATACCAAAGATAAATAATTAATTGCTTATACCTCCTACCAAATTAGAAACATACATATATGTGTATATTGTAGGCTTAGCAACTAATACCCAAGATAGCAGTAAGACACATTTCTTCCTAACTCACCCAGTGAATAATAGTTATTATTATTATTACTATCATTATTATTACTGTTCCTATAAGGTCATTTAACCACTGACCCTTTCGTTTAGCCGCAATCATGAAGTTTCAGTGATTCATTAAACAGTTCGCCAGATGACTATTTGTGCCTACACTAACATATAAACATATAAGTAAGGTGTTAGTTCAAGTGAATAAACAGGTGGTAGACAACTTTTTTATGCCTAAAATACACGATTTTTTTTCAAAAAAATTCATTCCTAGTTGTGGTATTTTAATAATTATAACTTGACATTTATTCATTTTCACCAATGTTAATTATAAAGTTGCTTGTTTTTGTAATTATAGACTTGGTGGAATTTAATCACTGAGGCATAATACAATGGTAATATTGTTCTTTATATTACCTTAAATTATCATAATGAGTAAAGTTTAGTGATTCTAAGAGTCAATTAATATTGAGGAATATGTGAGATAAAAATAATCATTTTGTATCGTAAAACTTATCTTAGTATATTTTACTATTTAATACTTTTCTTATGATAATTACAGTTTCAAGTTAGTCTTGATAAAGACCCGAGGTTTACTGGAGAACTGGTTGAATTCAGGATAACATTGGATACTAGCAAACATTAGACAGTTATTTCGTTCTAGAATGTGATTTGTTAGCAGAGCTCAATTACGACCACAACACAGATCGAATTCAGGATATTCAAGTTTCGTGATAAGCTCTTAACCTTCAGACCACTGAGTCAGCACCCAATGGGTTGCATTTCTATTCAAGTTATTAAGTAACCGTCAACTAATGGTATATGTGAATAACTGATACACACCCGACATGCTCAAACTCCATGATTGTGGCTTCTTACCAGAACTCCGGGAATTATGACAATCATTACAAACCAGAAACAACTGAATAGCTGTTTTCTTTCTAGTTTGAAACTTCTCAGTCTATTACTTCAATTGTAAACCTTAATAATCTGCACAAGCTCCTTACACAAAGAATAAACAACTGTTTCATATTATTTTGAAACTCTTAGATAATGAGCAGAACTGAAGATCGATATCAGGAACTTGAGATCCAGAAATGTACACATCACCATTAAACCATAGAGTCAGAATTTGATGGTTCATATTTCTAACTCCAATCAGTTTTGGCACAATCATTACTCGATGCCATCACTGGGTAAATGCCTTTCATTCGATCGATCACAACCTTAGGGATTCCTCTAGAAGCTATAAATATTGTTACAATAACTTGCATTGTTAAGTTAAGGGGTTTTATAGAGATTACTCAATCTGAAGTTAGTTTATATTATAGAATGATATCTACATTTACATGTTATATTCTGTTTTAATTGACACTGTTCTTTTGAAATGTGACCAATTTATGTGCATACTTTTCCCAAATAATTAGATTTAAGTTCATAGGCAGGTGATGATAATTGACCAAGTAAATGAGATTAGATTTTTATGTTGTGTTTTAGTGAAAAACACAATTTTCTTTTACATTGTTTATAACCAGTCACGTTGAATTACATACATTTAACATGTTATAATGTTTCAATTATTGTTTCTTGTGGATGATGAGACACTGATACATAAGTAGCAATAAATTATGATAATGATTTGTCTCTAAACCTAATGATTACCATAAAGTGGATTTCTAGTAGCCTATACATGTTTAATTTATACTATCCAGGGTATCAACTCCCTGACTGAAGGGGAAAAAATAGAAGTCAGTTGAATTATTGGATTAAATATTTTTCTTACTAGAATGTAGGAACGTAACACAAATTCATGATTCTTGTCTGAGAAATAATTCAGTATAATCAATTGAGAAGTTATCATACAAATTCTGATATTCTCTCTCTTTATATATTAATATTATCACACTGTTTTATGTGTACATGCATATTATATCACTTGCTGCCTCGTTTACTCCTAACTTATGTACTCGGTGACTAATTATAAAACATAAGCTTTCAAAAAAATCATCTCATGACAGCCAAACTATAGAAACTCTTCAAAATACTCTTCAAATTTCGAACTGAAAGCATTATACTCTAGTCAGACAGAAACTTCATCAGATAAATATGTAATTTCTAGTGACTGTAATATTCTAGTAAGATAATGATCAACGTTTCTTTATATCATCTGTATTGTTTGTATCATGAATTATAGATCATGCTATGCATCTCTGATAATCAAGTTACCTTAACCTTGAAGAGAAGAACGAGTGTTTCGCTTTTTTTAGTGTGATATCACTTGTTATATGAACTAGAATAAATAGATTCTACAAAAGAGATATTTGTCAATATCATGACTGGTCTTTGTCATATTTAAATACTGAATGTTTCATGTTACAAATTAACATTAATATTAGTGAGTATATATGTGAACATGTTAATGCCTAGTAAACAAATGGAAAATTATAAAAGTTGGAAAACAGATAGTTCATGATAATTTTTTCATACTGATTAATACCATACTTTAAAAAATTCTAATCTAATATCATAAGTATCATAGAAATAATAAGTTCAGCATTTTAGATCCATACATGAATCCGCTGAGTTAAATTACTAAACACACATACTACTATTGAGACATTGGACAATGATATAGACATGCAAATTTATACCAGCTATCATTTTGATTAACAAAAAAGTACTGACTTAACTTAGATTTTATAGAACCCACACAAGCATACAATTTTTCTACGTAATTATTTATGTATTACTTCATGTTAACTTGGTGAAAATATTCTATAGTGCTAAGTGTTAATGTATTTCAACGAATCTATAAGCCTAACAAACATTTACATTACTTAATCACCCTTAAACTGCTAATTCACTTTTTGTTGTAAATCTGGAATTTCAAGATCAAATTCTGAGAGAAAAACAAGGAAGTAAGCATTGGGTTGTGGAAACAGTTAGATTTCAATAAAATCACGGACAGGTCTAAATTATACAATGATTCAATACCTGAAAGCAATGAACTCCTGCAAACTGACTGGATTACATCGTTGGATACCGGCTCAATGGTCTAGAGTATAAGCGTTCAAACACGAAACTGATGGTCCTGGGTTTAATTTCCACTTGCGGGGTCGTGGATGCGTACTGCTGAGGAGTCCCATATTAATGCTTCCAGATTTACAATAGTTGTCTAACTTAGATCGATTTGTAATTACAGTGATATAAATTAGAATAAACGAGCGTTCCAGATTTCACTGAGAGCTACTTTCTAGCTTTACCAAATCTCATTTGGTTGTTTGCATTTTTAAGCATACTAATATCAACAGTTTCATCACTTTAAAAACAGATCGAAATGTATTTGTTTTATATTTTATAAATAATGTTGAAAAAAAAACATGTTTAAGCAAGTCGTATCCTACTGTGCACAAGGTTCAAATGTGAAAAAAACACATCTGTGTAAAATATTAATACTGGTTGGATAAGAATAATTCCTAGCTTATTAAATCAAGACCTAGGTATGACCATATTTTTAAGGTTCACTAATTAGTCTTTCAATTCTTATAAAACCAACAGTGAAACCAGAACAACTCAACGGCTCTGAATAAATGCGCTTTTATCCAAACACAAACGGACAATTTGACTATTACACAACATTCTCGTTTTTAAAAATGCTGCTGAAATATGGACCAGCACTTACTGAATTCAATGACTTTCAGTAAGACCTGTAACCATATTGCTGGATGGAACTTGTTATCGTTCTACAGTCAGACTGATTGAATCTAAACACTACCGTATCACATTTTAATGAGAACCAAACAAAATATTGAGCGTTACCGTTCAGCAGTATATACTTTACGGCTTTAGCCTTGGTAAATCTTCATTAGTTAATTACTTCTCGTTTTTTGTCTTACTTTATGCTCTTCTATTTAGAGAATGTGTTCTTTTCGCTTTATCATAGTCGTTTTTCATGATTTATATATTCTATGATGTAGACTGATAATGTGATCACGATTACTGAGATATAAAATGATGATAATAATGTATTTGATGATAATCACGTAGTCTATAGAGAATTAAGTGGTGTCGTATGTATGTTGTATGTAAGCACTATATCATTGAATACTACCACTATAAAACTTAGTTCATAAGGTTTTCTGTAGTTTGCCTTTAAGTGTATAACCGTGTGTTTTTTTGTTTACACTCTAGGACTAATAAACTAAATTTCTAAACAAAATGACTGCTTCTCATAACGATAGAAAACAGAGTTAGCTAGTTCAAAACATAATAATAATAAAACATAATAAAACCAAATAAGAATTTATAATCATTCATAATGTATCTCTTTAAATATTAAATTCAATCAAAATAACTTATGTACAATAATGTATGTATTTTTATGTACAGTTAATTGAGTTTAGTGTTCAACAGTGGTTTTGGTTATTTACCATCAAATATGTTCACTTTTTTTATTTACAAGGCGCTGAAATTGTAGTATTTAGAAAAGTCTTCTTTTTATCATATCCTTTTACCCCAGATGGTCAATATCATCATCTGTCTGATATGGTGTGCTACCATTGGAATTTAAATATTCATAGGGTTTTGATAAAAAATTATCATCAGTTATGTAATTATTATTTAGTTGAGGCCTGTTATGATAAGAACTATTAGCATGAAAAAGCAAATTCTCTTCTGGTATTGATTGTGATGGATTATTCTGACTAGATAATAATTTAAAAATGAACGCTGGAAGTAAGGAGGATGATGACAATGAGGAAGAATGGAGATTACCTGTAGGATGAAGAAAAGAAGAAAATAGTGGATTGATGAAAAAAATATTATTTTTCAAAAGGAATTAGGTTTAATTGTACTCTTTATCTTGTCCAAAGCTCTATCATTTAATATTTTCAACATCTGTTATAAAAGAATCATATTCAATACCGACATTTTTTTGTAACAATGTCTTAGTATCGAGATATTCTGGATATTTTTTAACATCTTACAATACTGAACATCTTTGTTTTAGTAAATGAATTCAACTCATACATTGTTATTGTCAGTTTTTGAGAACGGGACAAGTATAAACAATTGAATTTATGAGCCGATCTAAGCTAGACCACCACTGAAAACCTTATAGCACTGGACGGCCAATTCGTCATAGTATAGGACTCCTCAGCAATGCACATTCACGATCCCTCACACAGGATTCGAGTCCAGGACCTTCGGTTTTGGGTGCGGACACCTAACCTCTAGATCAGTAAGCTCGCATTCAACGATGTTAATGTATAACTTCAATCGATTCATGATCTTGCGCAACTCTTTGTCGTGGATGTGCACTGCTGAGAAGTATCATACTGAGGCGAAACGACCGTCCAGCGCTTCCAGGTTTTCAATGGTGGTCTAGCTTAGATCGACTCATAAATTCAACTGATGAAATTACTACAATCTCCACAAATCCCCATTCTGATAACGAGACAAGAGTGAAATACTTCTGAATTGTGTTAATTTAACTAATTAGATCAAGCTTGAAATATACTTTTTAAATGCGAATCTGACTGAATCTGTTGAATGTAGTCGTTATTATTATTATTACTTCTACTACAATATCATTTTGAGAATTTCACCATATGTTTAAATGAGGTATTTGTTTATTATCTGATAGTAGCACGCATGCATATTATATACACACATGAACATTTATTTTTATACATAGAGAATTTGGAATCATACCAAATGATATGTGAACAGAACATGTGTTATTCATTTACATAAATAATTCTATTGACTTAACAAAACATTACCAGTATGACCTGATAGTTACTAACACTATTCAGATGTTTATTTCTAAGATGAACATGTCTCAAGTTTTAAGTAGACAACTTGAAAATATCATCTACAAGTCGATTGAGAAATAAACATGGTCTTCCTTTTTGCGATAGATCCAAGGAATAGTATCTAGATTAAACATCGAAGTATTTTCAGCTGGATGTTATTAGCAATTATTATCCGAGTAACTTCAGTATTTCGACCTTTATTTTATTAGAAAATTAGCATAGATAAGCTAAAAACATGGCTAAAACTACAGGGCATGATAAATTCTAATAGCAACTTAGCAAAAGTAATAAATAGTAGAAATCTTAATTCAATATTTGAGACTTAATATTATATTATTATGTTGTATCATATTTAAGATGAACAAATAGAATTAGCGTATTTATATACAGTTGAACTATACCAACAATTTTACGAGACCTGTAAATATCTTCAAACTACAATAACCCTATACCCATGGTTGAAGGTACACTGACTATTAAAGAAAAAATATACTTTATGTCGCATTCTATTACTCTTCTCAATCAATCGTTCTGAGAATTAAATAAATTATAAATAATGTGGTGAAACTTTAACAAACTGATCATAATGATCAGTATTAGGTTGTGAAGACTGTTGAGTTTTTGGTAGAGACCATGAATTTACCTAATGATATTGACTTGTTTTTTTTCACATTCTCATATTTTAGTAACTGAATAATCAATTAAAGCTAAACCGCCATTGAAAAACTTAAAGCACTGGACGACCGTTTCGTCCAAGTATGGGACTCCTCGGCAGTGAGCATCCACGGTCCTGCATGTCGTCTCAGTGATCTGGAGGTTTAGCGTCCGCGTATTATTGAAGATCCCGAGTTCGAGTCCTGCGTACAAGGTCGTGAGTACGAACTGCTAAGGAGTCCCGCACTAGAACGAAACGACCGCCCAGTGCTCTCAGGTTTTCAAAGGTGTTCTAACATTGATCGATTCATGATCTCAATCAAATGATCATATTAGCATAAACAATACAAAACAAAACTTACTGTTTTCGATTGAAGTTTCTACATTGATAATATTTAATCGTCGAAGTACTGCTTGTTCTAAATAGTTTATATGCTTTATTGCTTCTTGAATAATTTTCACCTAATAGAAAAATTAATGGGGTAAAACGATTTATGTATGTATACACAAACTTCCATTTACATAACAGAGTACATGATAAGTTTCAGATTACCACAAATGAGTAGTCGGCAGGATAAGTAAAGTTACATTGTTTATTAAAATAATAAGCGAAGCAAAATCTAACAATGATTAATCTGCCTCATTAAACCAGTAAAACGGCTCATTGGATTTGATAAAAAATAGAATAACTTAACTTATATCTATGTAAACAATGTAAATAGTCATTGGTAAAACTGTCAATTCTGTCACTTGAATTAAAGGAAAACGCACGTACATGTAGGACGACAAACTGATAATGAAAAAACGTGATCTTATTTAAAAATTTGTCAATATCAAAGAGATTAGTTTTAAGAACGTGATTAATTTGATAATTTTATGATCGAATTTCATATACATGATTCCTTTTATTATCGCAAAGAGAGCAGAAACAAAGACTGGTGCAGAATAATGTGAATTCACTTTATTTCATTAGGTTCTCATAAGCTGCTTATTACAGATATTGACATGCTTATAGGTATGTCTTTGTTTCTATTATCTTTATACTCGAAGTTAACTGATTATAGTAGTAGTCATAAATTAATATTACAAACAATAAACATTTTATGAAAAGTGGAAGATTATTCAGGCTAAAAAGTGAATTGTTTTAGAGTTATAATCTGAGGATTAAGGTTCTTTTTAGACAATCTTAGGGAAAACTTGTGTGCTATGAGGATCTCTTTTGCTCTTGCTTAGAGAATTCTCAGTTTCTGTCTTGCATCAAAAGACTTCTAGAATCTTATTGTAAACACAATATAATATGATCTACAATAATGAACAACCAGTTGTATATATGTGAGCTCTTGGATGCAGATACATCCAGTACAAAAAAGTACAGAACACTCCAATTTTAGCCACGATTCAAGTGTACTAAAATTTAGAACTAAAGCAGTATCTAGTCAAACCACACAGGGTGCATATATTCGAATAAAGATTGGTCAGTTACAGTCCTGGAAATTCAATCCAGACTGCAACAAAAGGTATGGCAAAGTTGTAGAGTTCTGGTGCTTCTAAAAAAAATAACTCGACCTACAACATCAATACAGTGTATACATGATTGTAAGGTTTAATAACTTACTTCATCCAAATTTTCACAATTTGCAACAGTTGGTAGAATTTCCTTTAATCGTTCACATTCAATTTGATGTGGTTTTAAAGAATTATTATCATTTAATCTTTTTAAGTATGTTCTTTTTCGGATATTTTTATTCAATCCACTGAGTGGTTTGAATGTAGATTGACATCTTCGTTTTGTTAAAAGTTTTCGTTGAATCGGTGATAGATTTCCGATACAATTTCGTGACATAATGTCTTTGAAGTAAAGTAAGAATGTTGTGAAAATAATGAAATAAAAATTTATAACTATATGGTTTTAAATAGAAAAGGTGTATGCCTCAAGTTAAATATTCGTGATTTTGATTGGACAAAATAAGGGAGACAGAAATATGATTAGGCCAATCGGAATAATCTGCGTTCTTTCAAGTTACATTTACAATTCATTATTTCATTAAAATGACCATGTACATAGTCATTTTTTCTAACAAAGGGAAAAAACGACTACTAAAAAGGGCAGCATTTAACTCAGAGGGTGTGTTTGAAAAAAAGAATATTTTCTGGATCCATTGGAACCAACCATTTTATTTTATCAGTATAGGGATTTTATTGGATCTTATCTAATGAATATTGAGATATCTTGTTGCTTCCTGATTTCTGGAACAGTAAACAGTTCATAAATAAGAACTTTCGTCTAAATTTGAACGAATAGTTTCACAATATTTGGGCGCCGAGTTAATTTGAGACATTAAAAAAGAAGAATATATTTGTAAAATCTCAGCGAATGAATTTTAAGTAAATCCAACGTTTCGCCTGGCAATCTGGTCCAAGCTTCATATGCTTGTAAATGAGATTAATGAATTAAAAAAATAACACGCTAGTGAATCACACGCTTAGATACAGAAAAACCATTAGGGGGGAATTACTCAGCACTTAATATATTCCAGTAGTCAAAAAATATCGAAGTTGTGATGTTGATAAATTGTGTTTGCAAGTGATTTTCACCATGAATTAACGTTAACTAGAAAACCACCGGAAACCAGAGAGTACTTGGCAATTATCAGGTTAAAACACAATTATATGAACGAGGAATATTCTTTTCAATAATTCCTCATCAGGTTCTACAATTATAAATCCAAATTAATAACCCATAAATTGGCCAGACTTAAGGCAGAGTACATCATTTAAAACTGTAATATGTGACTCAAGAATTGTTGTTTGTCATATAAAATCAATTCAAATCGTTAATGACGGGGCTGACTAATATGAAGTGTTAACTTACCAGGTTTCATATCAGGACTTCTGTACGAAGATCACCCAAAACTGTTTACTAATTAAAAACTCTGATCCTCAAGTCTCATGACACGAGTATTGTGCTGATTAACATCATGATGTATTGTAAAAAAGTACTTCAGTACATAAAGTGGTTAACAGAACTAGTTATTTACCTGTAGTGGATTCAAAATGGGAAACACGATTGTAATGCTTGTACAGTTAAGACATATATAGTCCAGGGATTTAAAAAGAGTACCTTAAAATACTTCACCAAGGATTATACAGGCGAATATCAATAGTAATAAAATCATTCTTGAAAACATATTTATTCAGGGCTATAATAATAAACCGTGAAATAAAGCTAGCTGAGAATATAAGCAAATATATATAGTGGCTAGCAGTGGAATCCAGGAAGCGCGTTTCGTCCTACTTGGGACTCGTCAGCTGGATGTACCTGCATCTCAGGGTTGATGTTCACTCTGGGACTCGAACCCAGTACTGTTCGTTTCAAACGTCATCGCGTTATCCACTTGTCTACTGAGTCAAGTAAACAATGATAAGCGAATTTAAACTTCACCCTATAGCACAAGCAATTGGCTATCAGGACTCAGTAGATAAGTGGATAACGCGATGGTGTTTGGAGTGAATAGTATTGGGTTCGAGTCCCAGAGTGAACATCAACCCTGAGGTGCAGGTACATCCGGCTGACGAGTCCCAAATAGGACGGAACGCGCGCCCTGGATGCCACTGCTGGCCACTATCCATTTTTGCTTAGAATGCTTGTGAATTAACGCAATATCGAGGCAATACTCACAATGTGCACAGATACCAATAAGAGATTGATCCACTGCAGTTCTAAGCATCAATGAAGACATTCAAATAAACAATGCCAAGTGAATCTAGCTGAGGATAGTTTCGATTTTCGATTCGATAATATCGAAAGCCCCAGACCAAACAAAGATTAGTTAAGGTTGATTAAAAAGAGATGTATGGAAGTAATTATGTAATAAAAATAATCTCTTAGATTAGAACATAATACGTTGCATCTGTAAAGTAAGATAAAGTATTCAAGATAAATGAAAGAAAATGGTGTGATGAAATAAAAAGCTGTAGAGTTTGAAAATGAAACAGTGAGAGGAGGGATCAATCAAACATTTTATTCATGTAAGGCTATTCTACAAATTTCTAATAGCTTATTTGCGCAAAGGAGACATTCACATTATCCTTCAGATTTAAGAATTATCCCTAAGACGCTTTGAAAACTAAGTAACATTGTACACCTGTTTATTTTCAGTTTGAGACTCTGCGGCACTTAAGGTACACAATGAATTGGACGCATAAAATTCAGATTATGAACAGAGCGTGAATAGGTCATTTACTCCATTCAACTAGCCACATTTTCTAAATGTAGTGGTAATACAACTTGACTGTTATCTGTCGTCAGTCGTGAGTAAATGGCTCTTTTAATGGTTGACTTCATATGTCAAGTTACAATTTGTTTAGTTTGAGAAAAAAAGGGATTTGTTAACATCTTTTTACATAAATATCTTTTAGTTTCAATAATTCGCTTCATTCATATAGTTACATTCGAAATAATTGAGAGCATCTTATTAAAATAATCTACTTCACAAGTGACTAACATTGAAATCGATTTTTAATGGAGTTAGTTAGTGCGTAGCGATGGAATCTGGGCCTCAGATTTCGTCCTATTTGAAACTCATCCGCTGAATTTACATGCATCCTAGTATTGGAATTCACACTAAAACTCAGAACCAGTACCTTTCCTTTCAAACATCTAATAGACAATCCATTAAGTGAATGAGCCTAAATAGGAGCTGGCTTATGTGAGGGGTATGTGAATATTATAATAGAGAATGATCAACTAAATTATTTAATAACAACAACTAGGAAACATGTGCTCTGAGGAATCTAAAATCGATTCCCTGAAGTTTGAGTTTTAAACCATGATCCTGGCAGAGTTAACTAAGTTGACATCGATGCAGTTACTCACTGGTAAACATTAACTAACAGTTGTATTCACCAAAATTGAAACATGTGAACCGATTCCTTCCCATTCAACAGAAACATATTTTTTGATTGAGATCATGAACCGATTGATGTTAGACCACCAACGAAAACGTGGAAGCAGTGGACGACCGTTTCGTCTTATTGTGGGACTCCCTAGCAGTGCGCATCCACCATCCCGCTCGTGAGATTCAAACCTAGGGCGCGCGAGACTAGTGACTAGCTTCGTGAGAGAAATGTCGGGGTCCTAGTGAGAAGTTATAACCAGTGGAGCTAATCTGTGTCTGGTAGAGACAGGTATCTACCTCAGTACAATGGAAGATGGTCGCGCGATTTCGTGGATTGGTTGAGGTTAGAAATTAACACTGTCGGATGCCGGCCGATTCAGTGGTCTAGAGGTTAAGCGTTCGTGCACGAAACTGAAGGCCCTTGGTTCGAATCTCACGAGCGGGATGGTGGATGCGTACTGCTAGGGAGTCCCACAATAAGACGAAACGGTCGTCCACTGCTTCCACGTTTTCATTGGTGGTCTAACATCAATCGGTTCATGATCTCAATCGAAAACTTAATAATCTCCACAGCCCTCTACTGATAGAAACATATTTACCTTAAAACAGAAAACACCATATATAATTTGAATGTACAGATTACTGATGATTCTTTAGCATCAACTGACTTTAAATTCATAATTTCCAATGCTGTTAGTTAATAATGAAGATAAACTTTAAATCTGACAGCTTTTATTATGTATTGTCATATGTTTTATAAGAAACTTTAAACCCTGGGTAAATTTCTCTTCTTCTTATATGACTTATTCATGTAGGTAACATGAACAGGTGTCCTGTTTCTAAATGATAGAAATAAGCTTTAAAAAAAAATTAAGATCATAAGATGTATATCACAATTGTCCCATGTTAATTTACTTCTAATTTCTATTATCCTCATTTATTGTTCATTTAAACAACAAAACTTGTCGTTATGATCATCATGTTTCTCTTTATCATCTCTTTATATTCATCCGAATTAAATGTAATTATTATTATTATTATTTTCATTATTATGGAACTTGGTAACTAAAGCGATTCATATCCAGTTAGGGATAATGAAATTATTGAGCGGGTAAATAATTTAACAATTAGAAGGCTTGTCAAATATGGTGATTGCACATGATTAATACTAATAAATAACTTGAGTGAAAAACATGTTCGCTAATTTAACTGTGAGTTAATTCACATAGATTTATAATAGCAGGTTTACATGTTCAACATTTTCCCAACTAGAACATCATCATCATCATCATCGTCATCGTTATAATCATGAATGGATTTAGTTTCAGTAGTTAAGAGGATATGGTTATTTCGATTTCATATTTTTTTTTAGAAAGAGTGACATTATTTCTAGATTGAATTTCATTAAATATCACTAAGACTGATTAAATTTACACAATGTTAGTGAGGAGATTAGTAGACTAAATGTCTGTGTATAATAAGTTGAATCATGCATAAAAGAATCAGTGATAATTTTCAAATGGGGATGAGTGTTAAAAATTATTCACTAAGTAAATCAATTGGGACGATAATTTATACCGCGGGATTTCTGGAGCATTTGTTGTAATACAATGTAAATCACAAAAAGTATTGGTCATCGCCGGTAACTTAAACATTTAAAGTGATGTCAATTATTTTTAATATTCAGTCCCATAAAAATATTCAAGGAAATAATCTTGGAATAATTCTCCAACTTTACCATTCATTGGGAGACTGAAACAAATTTTCTGATTGCTAGTTGAAAGATATAGATAGAGAACACAAATATACATATTTCCTCCCAACTAAGGTTATTCCCATTAATGGAATGGTACTAAAACCTTGGACTCTTTTTCAAATTTCTGTCAGTCACTCAAGTAGTGTAAAAAAGCTACTATCAAATAAATGTGATATGAATTATTCCTAC